CAATTTTAGAAAGGCCTAATATGAAAGTTATTAGAACTTCAATTATTCATCATCCAGAAATTACATTAGAAATTAAATCTAAACTAATCGCAAAAAATAAACTTTATCAAATTATATTTGATTTATTAGATAATCTTGAAGGACGCGCAATTATTTATGGGGTTACAGTATAGAGTATAATGATATAATAAAAGAACTTCAAAAAAATTTTGACCCAGCTATTATAGGAATGTATTATAGAAAACTTACAAGTAAAGAACAATCTATTATATCTGCAAATTGGAAAAATAAAATTATCAAAATAATGTCCGCAACTTCAACTTTTGGTATGGGCATAAATTTAAATAATGTTACTTTAATAATTTATACAACTTTACCAATGTCTTATGATCGATATATACAAGAAATTGATCAGGCTAGACGATCTGGACAACAATCCAGAACAATATTATTTTATTCACGAAGTGATATACGTATATTATTAACAATTTTGAGTAATGGGCAAGAAAGGTAAATATTAACATAATATCTATAATATTATAATATATAATATATACTAATCTATTTTATTAGTCTTTCTAATTTTACAGCGTTACAACATTCATCTAATCTAAATGCTACAATGGATAAAAAAAAAAGAAAAAGTTATGACAATGATATTATTTACAGAAACAGTATATAAATGCCGTCAATAACTAGCGTACTATTTTTTTCTTTGACCTGATGATCTAATGATTTTGGAATATCACAATTGTGATAATTGTAAGGAACGAGAAAAAAATAAACCAAATCTTTGTAATGTAATAGCAGAAGCATTACGGCTTATTAGAATTGTAAAAGTATTATTACAACATGTGACAATTCAAAGTAATAATATACATTACATAACTCGTGATAATATAGTAGATGTGTTTTATGGAAATAAGAATAATAATGTAACTAAAAAAACCTCATGCAAGTATCAGAATATCCCTCAAATCATTTTCAAATAAGATTACGTCCAAAAAAAATGTGTCTTTATTTACTGGATTCTTTAATTGATAAAAAAATTATTATTCAAGTTATTGATCTTTAAAGAGTTCATTCTGAATCTTCAGTATTGACTCATAGTTATAAAATTGTAGGAATTTGCGAAAATGCAGAAAATATTATTACTTCTATGATTTGGCAACAGTTTTTGAAATAAATACGAAACTTATTAACATATGATTGGCTAATATAAATTGTGATCAGGTGATACTAATTTATTACTATTTTTATAATGTTACACATGTTGATCACTAAGTCAGTTATCAATTATTATTAATTATATACAAAAGACCCTACCCTTAAGGAAGGTGTGCATTTATAGAACAGCTAATAAAATAGCATATAATATTACACAATTATTACAACCTTAAATTTTTCATTAATTTTATTAAAATTTGAATATTTTTCTCTGATATATTTCAAATTAAACATTATATAGCATAATTATAAGCTAAGAATTACTAAAATATGTATTGATATTTGTTTGTCGCATTGTGTTTATTTTTTGATTTTAAAAAACTTTTCAAATTTTCCTACTAACTTCAAATATTCTTTCGCATTATCCTGTTAGAGTAGAAACATATATACAGTGTCCAAACTGATAATGATAATGCTAGTACTAATAACAGAACTTTCACAACTGTTATCTTTCTTTTCTAAATCCATATTTTCCTCATCAGTATTTTTAAAAAGATAAGCAAGTTCTTTAATAACTTGATCATCTTCAGGAACTTTGAAATAATATCCTCTTCAGGAATATTAAGGAATTCTTTTAACTATATTGGATGGGAAAGATTAAGAGCCTGAATATTATCTGTAAGATCATTAAGCATTGAGTCTTCAGATTGATAGATATCTTCTAATGTATTTTTCACATCTGTTTTTTCATTGAAACTAGAGAGAAAAATTTTTACATGGTGTCAGTAATTACAAATTGTTTCAACTTTAACCTCATACCATGCTTTAATAATGAAATAAACTGCTTGTAAAATATCTATGCGTAAGTCTTCTATATGTTTACCTGCTTCTACATATTATAACATTAAACTTTAAAAAAATAATAATTAATTTTAATTACATAAAAAATACGTAGATTTTATATTAAAACTTACCATATATAAAAATAGTGATAATTTCTTTTAAAAGTTATGATTATTCTAGCATCCATCGGCTGGATTTTTGAGGTTATATTTGGTGATAGAAAATTAATATCAGTGTATTGTAAAGTAAGACCATATATTTTGTGACTAAAACAGTTATTAATAAGAAGTAATACACGTTGATCTCGATGCTTTAGACTAACTTGATAATCAAATTCCTGAGTTCACTCTTGAAAGAGTGATGTAATCATCCAAGCTTTAGCATTATTTCAGTATGTTATAGGCATATTTTGGATTTTTATATTTTTAAAACAATATGATCTTTCATATTTATCAATTACTAAAGGTTTTAATTTATGAGAGCCATCAGTATTCACACATAACACAATTAAAAGATGTTCTCTATTTACCTTACATCTAATAAGATATTTGGTTGTAAGTGTTTGATCTAGTTCTAATCTATAATTATTCAAAATAAGTATATTTTTGTTTTATTTTTTTATTCTTTAATTTATATACTAAAAATTTTACCTGTAAAATAGTCCAGTTCATCCATATTATAGATTTTTTCAAGAGAATAATTAGAACAATTTCTCTTAATAAAGGTAAAGCATTGGCAATTACAATTTCATCAGCAGATAAAGCTTCTTCTTCAAGCTTTCGTTAATAAATTCTATTACGATCTTTAAATTTTTGAAGCCATTCTTGAGAAAATTGAAATGAATCCTAAGAAATCTCTAATCTATTAGCAATCAATTTGGCTTTTTCAATAAGTATTGCATCACTTAAAATCATTCAATGTTGATAGTTTAAAATAAATTCTTTAAGTGCAAGTTCAAGCTCTGGATAGGAAACAGGTTTATATCATTTGACATTTGGATTAATAATTTCTGAACTAAGTCATTTTTCTGATGTTTGTAAAATATGAGTAATCGTACTTTTATCAACTCTAAGGCTCCATTGTTCTTCAATTCAATTAACATATTGAGCTCGAGTTTTTTATTATTATCGCGAGCATAAATACAAAGGTCTTACTTTTGAAGTTCAATAAGGTTAATTCTTTTAAGAATTATTTTTAAGAAATGTATTATTAATTTTAATGTTATTTAAATAACATTGAAATATTTATTTTAATAGAAAATGTGTAAAAATTTGTTAAATTATATTTGTTTCTCATTTTTTTTTCTCAATTTAGATATATGATGGAAATTTAATTTCTTTTTATAATAGTTTTCAATAGTTTGTTTACATTTTATTTCCTTGTATAATTAATACTAATTTGGTTTAGTTTGATTATAGAAAAGTATAATATTTATTCACATATTTGTAATAATTTGGGTTAATTAGTTTTGTAAATATTTGTAGGAAAAAGTTATTTGTAATAACCTGTTACATGTTTTATTTGTAACAACCTCGGATTTATCATGTGACGTTACACAAATTTCTAAAAAGGAGATTTTATTTTTTACAAAATTGTTGGTTAAGGTCGCAAAATATGTTACACTAATTTTCTTTTTGAAAATTTATGTAACGTCACGTAATAAATCACTGCACGCGCATCACAAGTTTTGTATAACGCAAAACCATTTGCGTCATAATAGATCATGACTGCATCGCGTTATGAAGATTTTGTATCACATTTGTGTTATGTCACACATGATTCAAAATCACAAGTGTTATAAAAAATTGTGTTACATTTTTTAAAGCTTTTTTTTTCTCTTTGGAAGTTTCGTAGAAAGATACTTACCCTAAAATTTAGTAAACGGTACAGTAGTTAAAGAAAAAATTAAAGCAGTTAATAAGTTTGCACAAGAGCTACTAAATATTATAACGAATAGAATTGCAGTAATCAATCCTTGGCTTGGCTTCGCATTTTTCGCATTTTAGCTATTTTTTGTGTAACCCTTTCCTCCTTCGTTCTTTTTTTCAAATTGCGGTCATTTTTTTGCGTAATAATCATTCAACCCCCAATAAAGCTTTCTCGCTTCACTTTTTTTTGCGTTATGATCAATTTTTTTGCATAATAGTCATCAACTCCACTTTCTCGCTCTGCTTTTTTTTGCATTGCGGTGATTTTTACCTACAAAAAACAAGATTATTATTATTCAGATAGATATATATGAGTTGCATACTCAAGAATCTGTTCAAAGTGATACTTTTTTCATAATGCTTTGTGATTATAGTATATAAATACTTTATCTATCTGAAAGTAAAAAATCAATTCATGTAAGTTATGTAAAATATCTGATTGGTTTTCCAATATAGAGCAGGTCAAGTCTAACAACATAACACCTCTGGATTTGCAGGTCAAGTTGAATAATATAACACCTCTGAACTCGCAAGACAAATCGAACAATATAGCACCCCTGGATTCAGAAGATAAAGGTAGTATATTAATTTTTTATTTTGCATCTATTTATTAGTCAATTTACTTGCATACTGACATATCACTTTATCTTAATCAGATATAAACCTTTGTATCGGCCGTGTCTTTAGATCATGGGAAAGTATCGATACTATTATGGAGACTTATGGTAAAAAACATGGATTTATTATTATAAAGAAATGATTAGCCCGCCATGAAGATGGCAGCATTAAGCATCGTAGTTTTGGATGTAAATTTGGCGGTCGTTATCAACTAAAAAAACTAATCGATATTAATAAACATCGAGACCGTAAATCAAAACGCTAACAATGTATATGGAATGTAAATTTCAATTGTCTCAAAAATTTTCAAAATATAGTCCTTACCTCTTTTAATAATTCACATAACCATACGTTACTTCCTGATACTGAAGAGTATTTATTAAAATATCAGAACGCCTTTGATGATGACGTTCTCAAAGAAATCCAATTTCTTACGGAATATGGAAACTTATCAATTACTGTTCAACGGAGATTATTAAAAGCAAAGTTCCTGGCTCTATCTATTCTCAATTGTGATCTCGCTAATGCAATACAAAAATATAAGATTAAAGCAGATGTAATACAGGATGCGTCTTGTTTACTAAGAACACTCATTCAACATAAATCAAATGATTCTG